TTTCCCTTTTTCTTCCTCTCTCTAGCAAGCACAGGTGCCCTATATATCAAGCTGAACAAAAAGAAAAGAAAAAAGGAAAAAAACCAGTCCTGACCAGTCCTGTCAGGGGTTGGTGCTTTCTCTCTGTCTCTGATGAGAGCACACTCCCTCTGGTGATAAAAACAAATAAACAAACAAAAACAAAACAGATCTAAGAACTCAAGACAGGGCTCTCTCTGGCTGTTTAATCTAAACAGGCCTCAAGAGGTTCCTCAAGAGGTTCTACTGTCATTGGGAATGACAGAGACAGAAAACAAAGTTACATCCTGCTTAACTGGCTTTATTCAAGTGGTGAGAGAGCATTGTTCGTAGTTCAAGGCAAGAGATCACACTGATATTGCTATAGTTAGTGACTTCGGGAATTTAAAAACTGGCAGAATTAGCTCTGGTATTTTCAAAAGCAGTCATTAGGTCACCTAGAAAAGATCGTTACCCAGGAAACTCATTTCCCCGAGGGCTCTAGATAATTAAGGTTTTATTCTTAAATATGGTGTCGCCTATTCCAAGACTACTTTTTCTTTGACCATCTTTCCTATCTTCCCTTAGATGCTGAACTTCTGAGGAGAAAATCTCTTCCTTTCTCAATTTCTCACTTGCTATTTTCTCTTTAGTCTCTGACCAGTGGGCCCAAGGTGCTACTGATAATGTGTCCTTTAAAAGCTCGATTCAGAGGTGGCTCTTCAATACTCATTCTGCTCAACGTTTGTTTTTTTTTTTCCCAGCGCAGATACTATTGACCATTTTCTTCATCCTTGACAACTCTGTTCTTTTCTTCTTGAATTCTTTCTTTCTTTGGGGGCCTCCATGTCATTATACCAAATGCCCCCCCTATGTTTAGGCTTTCCTGACACATGGCACAAATTCTTCTCTCTGATGCTCTTTAATATTCTTTGCCACCCCCAGTTAAGACACGTAAGGACACAAGAAATGTTCATTCGTTTTCACTTCCCGGTGGGATATCCCCATCTACCATCCTTAGCTAACGATGTCCTAGTCTGTGAGGCAAGAAATCATAGTCTTTTTCAATGCCACTTTCTCACCCTGATATTATTCAATTATAAAACCCACAAGGGGGCCGGCTCCATAGCACAGTGATAAGTGCTGTGCAGTGAGAGCTGGATCCCACATGGCAGACAGAAGTTTGAATCCCGGTCGGAACAATATGAAAAGAATACACTGGGCATATATGCGTACATGCCAAGATCCTGATGGGAAGGGGGATTGGAGAAAAGGGGATTGTGGTGTGATCAGATCCCATCTGATCTTTGTCTTTCTCTCTGCCATGAGCACACGCCCTCTGGCATTAAGGGAAAAAAAAAAAGAAAGAAAAAAATCCTCAAGGCAGAATAGGACTTCTAAACTTTGCACTATTTTAAGTATATTTCATTAGTGGCACGTGGCTAATTAATATAAAATCTAATCTTCCAGTCATTAAGATGTGAGTTATACTTGTTTATAGTAAAAATTAATATAGTTGACCTTATTTTTGCCATCAGTTTAGATATACACAAACTTATTTTATGTTTTCTATTAAAAAATTATTTACTTGTTTTTAATTATTATTTAATTTAATCAGAAAGAGAGAGAGGGAGAGAGAGAGATAGAGGGCAAGTGAGAAAGTAAGCCTCTAGGTCTGGGCCGTGAACCATGGTTGGTCATGTGGTTAGTGCCTTAAGCACCATGCCACCTACTGGCTCCGTGTTTTCTATTATTTATTAAGCGTTTCTTTCTTTCATTTTTGTTTTCTGCCAAGTAGATAGCTTTGTTCAGTACTCACCCTCTCCCCTAAGTGGTTTGGAAGTTTCACTTTATTTCTGTTCCTTCAGCAGTTATGCTTACATTTTTAACATATAAGTTAATCAACAGTTCTATCCTCCTGAAAATGAAAGGATTTTAGAGGGCCTTTTCATTCATTCATTTGGTTTTTGCCTTAGGGTCCCTGCACTAGCTGAAGAGAAACAGAGACAGAGACAGAAAGCGAGAAATCACCCCCCACATACACACTGGAGAGGGATGGCCATACCACAGTCCCTTCTCCTCCTTTCTCCTCCTGGGATTTTGGGCACACATGCACATGCCTGGCATGATTTTTAAACCACGGGGTCTGGGATTCAAACCATGACT